CATTATGCGCTCAATTCATCAAGTTTAATTTTTTTTAATTTTAGTTGAAAATTCTTTAACACATGAAATTTAACATTTTACACATTTCTGCAAAAAGAAGAAGGGAAGGCATACCTTCTGGCAATTCATGAAGCAATGATTATTTTTTGTAAAATTTTATGAGCAACAGATTTGAGAAAAAGTACAAATTAAACTGCTTAATAAATTGCAAAAGTTTAAAAATTTAAAAAAACAATTTTTGCTAGAATTCTAGAAAAAGGATTTAAAGTAAATTTATTTCAGTTTTAAATGCTTAAATGATAATACAATTAAAGAATTGAAATAGTGTTTGCTTTTTATTCCCTTCTTTCCAACTGGAATACGTCAATTCTTAGCATTAAATTAGAATATTTAAAATTTCATTATGCATTTAAATTGAATGTTGGAGAAGGAGAAAAACAGAATTTAAAAAAATCAAGAAAAATTTTTAAAATAAACAAAATAAAAAAGTAAAAACACAATATTTGTTTTACACACTAAAATGGTTCATAATTTAATCTGAAAATTAGTTACAAATTCTAATTTTCAAAAAGTACGAAAATTTTTTTTGAGAATTCTTTTCTTGAACCTATAAAAAACGCGAAAAATTTTGTAATAAATAAAAAAAATAAGAGACGAGAATTGGACAAAAAAATTGTGCAGAATTGTTGAATTTAAATAAAAAATTATACAAATTAATTGCCATAATATTATACATTTTTTCTGATTAACAGTCATAGTAAAAAAGCATATTTAACGTATATTTTATCTCAACTTATTCGTTGAATGAAGCAAGAGAAAAGAAGAAAAAGTTATAAATAAAAAGAAAAGGAATTTGTCGGACGTAATTTTGAAAAAATTTCCAAGATAAATGTTTAATTTTTCCTTTCGTAGTAAAAAAATGGAAACAAGGAAAATTTTTGGATAAATTTTGAAAACAATTTCATATAAATCAAATTTTTATAAAAACAATTGAACTTACTCAACTGGACATTGTTGATTCCGAGCATTTGCAAAACAATTTTTATATTCTTTAATGGATGGCATCAGTAATTGGCACGTATATAATTCGATATTATTCCAAAGTTCGATTGATTTTGGCAGTACACACGCAGTAATATTGAGGGTTTCAGTACATGTCCGAAATTCTAACAATAATTCGCATCCTTCGTCCGTTGTGCGCCACCTGCAATAGCGTACAAATGCAGCTTTGTAGAATGAAATTATTTCAATTTTCTAATTTTATCAAATCTTTTCAATAATGCAGCGACATTTTAGTGTAAGAAAATTAATTTTTTCTCAGTTCCTTAATTTCAATAAATATTTGAAATGAAACTTGAAATTTGACATTGCAATGTAAGAAATCTGTAAAATGAGACTGGTTTTTTTTTTATTTTTAAATTTCTAAATTTAGTAGATCTTATTAAATAATATGTGTGACCTGCCATGCAGCATAAAAATTTGCAAAAATAAAATTTTTTTTTAATTCGTTAATTTCAAGAATCATTTTTGTCTTGTTTCTTTTGTTTTCTAAAACTTCAAATCTTCATGATTTTTATTTTGTTATCGTTGAAGTAAAAAAAAATCATTGAATTTACCAATTTATCAATTGCATTTTATATAATTAATTAAGATAATTAATTAAGAGAAAGGGACTAATGCAAACCAAATTTTTTTTTAAAAAAACCTTTCAAAAAAATTGTTTCTAAAATCAAAAAAATTGATTTCGAATTGAAAAAGAATAAATTTTTATTTGATTTTAGAAACAATTATAACTCATTTTTAAAGCGCCAAATTAATATTGTTTTCTTTGACAGTTCACTTTTAAATTTTGAATATATTTTTGAGTACAACATGAATTGTGAAATGAGATTAAATGCATCTTACATTGAGTAATAGTATATCTTTGAGGTATAAATGATTTTATCAAACAACAATATCAATTAATGATTTTTATTTGAGTAAGTGTTCTTTTACATTCTTATATGCTAATTATACTGTTTTTGTTAACTACATTTATATTATCAAAATATTAATGCCTAATTAACGATTATTTTGAATTATTTTGATCGTATTAGAATCGACATATTTATTTCCTCTTCAAATATTTGCCAATTTATCCTACGGCATGTTAGATAGATTTAATTCATAATAAAATCAAGTTTTATAGATTCTCACAAGGAAGTGATTAGTTATAAAACTTGTACTACAGCAACAATTTGTGATCGTATCTTCACTGTTTTTAATTTTAATTGACATGAAGATAAATACTAAATTTGTCATTGTTGACACAAATATAATTTTTTGTTTTTGCACATTGTTCAGAAGTAATTAATTTCACTTACTTTACAAATTAAATTGTAAGTAGAGGAAAATGAATGCCAAGAAAAATGAAATCATAGAAAAAAAAGACGTCGAAAACTGAAATGATAGAGAGTTAATGAAATTAAAAATGAACACTTAAAATTTAAAATTTAAATGAAGAAAAGAATTTGAGAGAACAAGATTGTCACAATAATATTGTAAAAAAAAAAGCACAAATTTCATGCATCATTTTTCTACTGTTTTTCTCATAACATGCGTTATTCTTTTATCAACGTGAAATTGAATTTATTTTGATAATTATAGTTTCTAATTACAGTTTTTTTTTCTTATTATATGCTCACAGTATGGAATTATTAATTACAAAAGTATTGGTATTCTCAAATAAAGGCATATTTAATTATGGATTTTGAGAATTCATTTTGTATAATTATCACGATAACTCCGTTTTCTTTCATCAATATTAATCGTGATAAGGTTGCATTATTTCATTTCATTAATCATGATAAGCATTCTTTTCCTCTTACCCTTAATTTTTTTGTTTCCTTTTTAAGCTAAAATGGCAATGAGTAATTACAATTTCTGCTAATGCTAAAGAAAGATGAAAAGGAAAGAAACGAATTTTTTTGTTGAAAATGTTAAAATATAATTAAATTTTAATAAACATTAACAGCTAATTGTATTGTTGAAATTTTGGTAATGAAATTATAATAGCAAAAGAATTTTATGTGAATATTTTCTGAAAAATATTTTGTTAATAAACAGCTAATGATATTTACTATTGAAATTAGCTTAGATTTTATAATTTATCATCGAACCATTCACATTGGTTATTGTTAAGTACTATAATAAATTCGTCCACCATTATGGATGGATTATTGCGTAAATAATTGAACACTTACCGAACTGTATTGAAAATTGAAATCAGGCTGACGCACTTCAATTTATCAACTATTCCACATAAAAAAATGGGAACTAACATTTCAAACAAATTTAGGACGATAAAAGCAATTTTATTTTTTTCAAAATTAAATTTATTCAAATTGAAAATCTTTTTAATTTTTAATTTTTTCTTTTTTGTTTGCAATGGGATATAAACTTCCCTATCCATTAATAAAGCAAAATTTAGCTAATATTTGGGAGATATAAATTTGGAATTTCGCAGATTTTTTTAGGTTACATTGAATATGAAATCTTCATCTCAATTTCCTTTTCCTTTAATTTTTCACCGTTAACCTTCATATGGAAATGACAACAGAAACCTTTATCAGATGTAATTTGTGGAAGGAATGACATTGAACTTTGTAACCTTGAAATTTCATCTTTAAAAAAAAAGGGAAAAAAATGATTATGAAATGTCTTGGTTTGCAATCAAGGTCATTTTTTATCGCTAATTAAATATTTTAGTTGAAATAATCGAAATATCGATTAAAATTTGCTGTGAGAATTCTTAGCTGAATTCCTTTTTATCAAATTTTTAAACAGAATATTTCATATTTCTTTCTTTTTTCAAAAAAAAAA